CGGTTTTGAAACGCACAGGGGTAAGTTGAAGGTAAGTTGATGTCAACTTTTTTTACGGTGATCACTTATCAAAGAAAAATAGAGAGAAACATGTTAACAGTTATATTCTTTCAGTCTTAAATATGCAAAAATACTTAATATTATGTTGAAAACAAACTATTGGTGAAAATTAACCATTGTGCAAAAATTGTACAGAAAGAAGAAAAATCAATGACGACGTTATATTCTCACCCGTCTATTTGACTGAAATACTGTTGGGAAAAGGCGTAAAATCAGACAAACAAAAAATATATATTCTCTCTCAAAACAACAAAAACTAAGATAGCTAACTGTAATAATAAGGTAAGGAGGCGCATTTGCATAACACATCTGTTCAATCTGAAGTACACCATTAAGAACTGCATAAGGAAACTATCACAGTGAAGTTTGGTGCCTGTAATTTGTAAAATAATGTAATGCACCGAGAGAACCTATTATTTATAGATTATCTATTTACGTTATAATGCCATTGGCATAAAAATAATTATATCAAAATGTTTGTACAGACATTATAAGTACACATGATACAATTTTTGCACTAGTATGGCTATTCTCAAGCTAGCTATTTAATGAACCATTTATTGTAGCATTACATGTGTTACTGTATAAATTACCCAAATGTCTGTTTAAAGGTGATGCAAAAATCGTAAAGTCATCATGAAGAGCAGAGTATTCCGAAAATTCGTATGCGTAATATAACGCAGTGACACACCAACCTTGTAAAATAAACTTATACTATTATCTTTTGGGCGATTACTGCGGAATAATATTAAGCGAGTCATCATATGAATTCGGTTTTAGTTATTCAATAATGTAAAACATTATAACACCTCATATTTACTCGTTAATTTTCTTATAAAAACGACGAAAATCACCATTTTCACAGACGATTTAGTACTCTATTAACAGTCATAAAAGCATAAGCCTTGCACTCGTTAATTCATTTTCATGTTAGCTTATGTATTCGTGTTCCAAACAATCAAATTAAAAACGCCTTTGAATGATCTTTTATTTTCATAATTTATTACAATATAATGTTAAAATGTTACTGCCATAACATTATCATAAAGATGATGGTGAAAATATGAGGTGTGAACAAAACGTAAGTCTCTTGACTGGAATTTATTGTTATAAATTTTTCAGTTTGTTTCCCCAAAATAATGCCAGCGTTGCACGCATATGAATAAAATTCATTATATTGATAAATGCATCTCTAACTTCGACTTCAATATCGAGCTCGCTTTCTTAAAAGTGAACGTGCTAAACCTTTAACAATTGACTTATTTGCCTAACTTAAATAATGCCGATTTTTAAAAATGAAAATAGACTATTTTTAAGATTGTTTGCTGCAATATATGACCTTACTTGATCAATTTTATTTTTGTTTTAGAATTATTACGGCATCATATGTATTTAAATATTGGGGAAAGATTGGCGCGCATGACTACGTATAACAAGAAAGCAATTCAAATCTTTTTTTTTAAAAATACAACCTAACTGACAATTGCTTTAATTAGTTCTTGCGATGTCTGATGTGCAAAACAATGTTACACAACTGTACTTTCTTTTTTTGTAAGATTTATTGTATAGTTATATAAATTGTGGTTTGTGGTCATGTCTAAAAGCCTAATTTACGATTGGAAGAAATCTTGATTCTCTATAATTCATTTACAAAAATCAGTTCATGTTCAGTTCAGCTGATAACGACGTTATTCAAACACTATAAAGTTTTCACAATGTGTTATTTGGCATTATCTTTATACAATTTTCCTTTTATTTGCAAACGCAAAGAAAAACGCGGACATATTTGTCGGAGGTTTTGGTTTACAAGTACTCGGGAAAAGCTAAAGTGCAACTTGAAGTTAACGGACCATTTCTGTAATAATGATTATATCTTTCTTTTTAAAAATACTAATGCATCTCTCAAGTTAATATATTGTCTAACATTAGAATGAAAATCTTTAAAAATCAAGAAGCAAAATTATTGTCACTTAGCAAATTTAAACAGTAGGAATATTTCATTTTCTAGTCCCTGTATTTCTAATCGGCTTTGTTTCTTTCACATTCATATTCCAAATTAAGGCCCGACCTCATGTCGTGAAGCTAGACTTCAGGTGATTCTTAATTCATTTTTCGTCTACACGCAGGAACGTGAGTGGAGCCAACTTGATTGGAAGCTTCCTCACTTGAATGGGGTTTAAATCCCTGTTGTCACTAAAATCCATAAGTTTAGATCCTGTTATGGAAAAAGGTCATAAGTAGGGTTCAGGTACCAGTAGAAAAATATCTCAGTCATATTTTACGTATTTAAAAAATCATGTATAATTACGTACACGGTATGTAAAAATACAAATTATTTTCTGACTGTTGAAAATCATTAAAAATCGATACGTCATGAAAAATCAGATGAAAATTAAAAAATTTTTAGATAAACTTCACCTTACTTTTGAAACCAATGTATCTCCTCACATGAATGTATACGTTCAGAAACGATGTGTACATTTCTTTCTTTATATCTAGCTTAATCCGGCTATAGAAAAAGTATCATCTAGAATAGGTTTGTCCAAATAATAATATATTAAGTAATTTGTTTGTTTGTTTGTGTTTGGTTTATGTCACATCGGCATTGTCAAAGTCATTGGATAACACTTACAAGCTTTATAATTTGTTTTTTTTTTGGATGAATACATCCAGTGCCTGATCGACCACCTGAATAGATTCATTGACCTTCCTCAAGCTATCTAAATAGCTTTCTTGTATGAAAGAATAAAAAGTTATAGTGGGATTCAAACCAAAACCTGTGAGGGGGGAAAAGGTCGAAGTCAGCATCATCAATTGCATAGATACGAAGAACACTTATTAGTTGAACACATAGGTTCACTGACGGTAGAGTATTTTCAGACTGCAATATGCTACAATACGAATTATGTAAAAACAGATATTGAACAGAATCTGTATTGAGGCACTAAAGGACAAATCAGTGACGTTTTATTTTTCAAATCAGAAAACATTTAGATAGTCCATTGTTATAATAAATAATTATGCAACAATACGTCTTTGATTCAAACATCTGTTAAAATTGAAGTTCACCGTCATTCAAAAGTACATTTGAAAACTTTAATAGCTGTTTTTTTTTTGTCTGCGGTGTTTGGAAAAAAGTACATTGCAAGGAGACAGCTTATCATATAGAAATTATTAATTAATCTTAAAATGTCATTGTACTAAAGTATCATATTAAACTGTTTCTACAAAAATTCAGAGTGCACGATACTCTTTCCTTATACATGTAGTTATATGGCTTATCTTTTAAATAAATGTCTTAAGCCGTCTGTTTAACACAGCATGTACCTTAGTGTAGCAACACTCCGACCTTGACTTTTATCTTTTGGATGTTTATCAAGGAATAATATCAAAACTTGACTATCAGTGTGATGACATATTAATGTTAGCTATTGTATTGCATTTTGGTTATATTTTGTGAGAAATTATAATTAAAGCACTGCCGCTAGGAAGAAAAAACTCATTATTTCGTGTTTAAAACAATGTTTTTTTATTTTATTTTCATTTTTTTTTTATTTTCCGTGATTTGCATACTGACAGTTAGATATATAATATTCAAGGGAAACAAATCGTACTTTCCTAGTAAACAGCGGAGACATGGTTTAGGTCCATATGATTAAACGAAGTTAAATAAAAAGTAAAAGAGAGTTATTAATTGTGACAAATAAAATATCAATTCAAAAACATGCATTAAAATGAATAAGTGTTTGAAATTATTTTTTGTCCAAAAGGATTGCAGAATTTTTAATGAATCGTAACACATTTACTTTGGTAAGTCGGCAAACTTAAATCAGTCTAGTTAATCGACTGTTTACAAAAAATAATTTGAAACACTAAGCTGATTAAAATTTATTAGTATACATTTTCAAAATCAAGTTGGTCGCACGGATGCGCCGTGCCTGACTAATTTGATTTTTTAAATACGTACTTATAAACTTTAACCTATACTTAATATCTTCAATGGTTCCAGATTTTATTGTTTGGTCAAGCAAATTTAGCAAAGAGTTCATTATAAAAATATGAACTGCTTGCATTGTTTATTTTTCTAATACAATGCCTATGGAGAAAAATAAACTATACTTAATGCCGTGTCATTGAGTGTTCGAAATTATGATCACATAACTTGCATTGTTTTCACAAAGAGGAGTTAAGCGCTATTTTGATGATGAGGTGACCTTAACACGTTATCATATATCGAACAATAAGAACTTGCAAGACCTTTGCTCTGTCTCGCCAGATTATTTGCATGATCATAACTCATCCACGTAAGTGTTTTATTTTGTTATGTGTGAATAATACAGCGTGCACTTTGTCCCTTATTGCAGTGAAGTAGATAAGATGTGTTAAGTTAAAATAATTAATTTGAGAGAGCTATGAAAATGGAAAGAAAGCATAATTGATGAATTCGCATATGTTTGAAAGCAATATCATGTACATTAAACCAATAAATAGGCAAACTGACGATATGTGTTATTATTACGTGCTTTTTGTTCACGCATTCGTGATATGATTAAAGCGTCTATTTGCAATAATGCCTATTTGTTACATTGAATCGGTTTAAAATGTCGTTGCGTAAATATCTGTCATACGTTATCTAACACAATTTTGTTAGCTTAAGATATCACTGTATCACAAATAAGACCATAGTAAATGCGTTGTATGTGATTTCAGTTCAATACCGTTACTGATAAAACATATTCAAATTCGTCTAAAATGTACTAACTTTTCACTTGACATACTCATAATATAAAAACAATAACGTGAATCAGCTGAGTGATAAACTAGTAACAGATTTAGTAACAAATTTAAAACAATGGCCTATTGTTAAAGTACTTTATTTAATATAAGGCTAAGTTTTATTTGCAAACATTTTGCGCTGAACTTTGTATTCATGCAAAAGCTTTAGAACGGTGATAAGTACAGTTAAGCTAGTCGAAGTAACACTTGATTGTTTATAGTTTTAAAAATATGAAACTGGGGAAGAGTTTTGTAACACTTTCTTTATTTTGTGTGCTATTGCCATGGCTTGGATGCTCTTGCCTGTTTAATCCGGGACTAAGGAAGGTACAAGATGATCCTGAAATTCATATGAACACGGTAAGGTTATTATTTTATTACAATGTATCATTTATTTCACAAACATTTAGTTGATAATTTAGTTTGCTGTCGAACAAAATGCCACAGTTTAAACTTATACTGTACATGTATAATAATAAAAAAGCAAGAAATAGTTCAATCGAAATGTATGACATTTTGTTTTTTGTTGTTTTTTTATGAAAATAATTTAAGTGAATTTTTTCTTGTCAAAACAATACTTAAGATGAAAAAAAACTTTGGAGTTAAAATCTGAATTTAATACCAACAAAAAGAGACATTGATAAAAAATTTTGCGTTTCAACTTTTGGTTCAACAACAATGTACAACAAAGAAAAGAAATATGGTAACGAAGTGTGTATGCAGAATTGTTATCATTATGATAAACAGCTTAATGTCAATGACATAAAATTTCAATATCAAGTGTACATTTAAGATTTTTTACTCATAGCACAAAGGTTAATATCCAGCTCAAAATAAACACGACAGATAAAGTAAGACGAAAACGGAATTTAAATAAACATGGTTGTTTCTTAAGTAGTTTGTGTTAAGATATATAACGACATGATATACTACACGTAATCCGATTTTAAGCTTTATATCACAGGGACTTTTTATGTGTACATGTCCATACTTAGTTACACTATGATTTTTTATACACATCTATATAAATATCGAAATAAACTTGAGTTTAAATCTAAGTGGAAAATCAGCGTTAAACCTTCAACTTACTTTTAAATATCTTGTTAAAGTATTGAATTATTACATTATTTCTTTATACATGACATGTGAAAAACACGTGTTTTCCAATTTCGCCTGTCATTACGTGCATCGCAAAGAATTGGAATCATGTATACTTAAACTTGGATTTGTATTAATAAATAAAAAAATACTATTGGATCCGCCGTTTGAAATAGCTGGTCAAGTTCGCACTGCGATATTCAAATTCATTATAGATATAAATAATAATTTACAAATAAGATTTAATTTACAATAGATATAATTGCATAAAGTATCACATTAAAGATCGCCACTTTATAAATGCCTAGGAATTATCTATGAGTGTGGACCTAAGCAAGGCAATCTTTAGCATTCAACTGTCTCACAAATATAGACATATCTTTGGGTAGGCACGCTAAGTTGGCACAACAGTGGTTTAGCTAATGCTGATCAGAACATATTAATTTGTGTTCGGAGGGTAGGGGCTGAAGTGCTCCATACTGACAGTGGTCCGATATGTATATATGATGTTAATTATTTATACAATTACAAATTTAATCTAATATGTAAAACATCAAAAATTACAATAATATAATAGTAAAATGCACGCTTAGAACTTTCTTGTCGAGAGGTTTAATGGAATTTGGGCTGATAGTATTTAACAACAGTCAAGATAAAAATAATATACTTATTATAAACTATTTTTAATCCCTAATGTAAAAAGTAGTCACACCAACAGGGAAATAACGCTTAATTCACCGACTGAGAACTAAAATAATATTATAGATACAATGAAAATATACTTTTAATACTTGGTCGGTAGACACCCTTCAAGGGATGCGGCGCTCGGGGCGCCGACTACTTACAACAAATCATATAAAACATCAAAATTTACATTAAAAAATATAATATTTAAATACACGCCTATAACCTTCTTGGCGAGAGGTCAAAGGGAACTTGGGCTGGTAGTATTTATCAACTGTCATGATAAAAATAATGCACATGATTGAGAACAATACTGATTCTATTGGGCTCATACACAGCTGCAAAACCTGTCTGACTCAGCTAGCACCTCGTCAAATACAGTTTTGACAGCTATGTACTCGTCCAAAAGAATTCAGTATTGTAGACAACAATGTATAATAACCTCATAATATATCTTCCTTGTCCCAAGTTTCTGTTATTTACACTAACAATCATATCAAACATGTTTACATACACGTACATAAAGACGCGTTCAAAAAGTTTATCTTTGATATTTCTTGGAGTCATTAATTTTCATAATTGAACAACTTTTAGTTTAACACGCGCTAAATTTGTCATTTATCGCCCCACGTGTGATCATTAGTCTTATTACTTATTAAGATTGAACGAAATATTTTCCAACGGGGACTTGTGATATATTACGACCTTGGTACAAATAACGGTCACAATCTCCGTGTGTTCGTTCCAAAACTATTTCCTCGAAAGTTCTCAAAATAGATAAAGTAAAAAGCTTATATGTCCTACATGTTTATATAGTACTATCCTATGTTTGTATTACATAAAAACATATACGAACGTTCTCACAAATCACAAATAGTGGTCAAAATTTAAAATATGCCAAATGAAACTTTTCAAAATGAAAAAATGCTTTTGCTCATCAATTTCATTCCATATAAGCCAAGTTTTCCATTAAATTTTAGCACACTTACAAAAAAGATAAATACGAGTTTGAGTCAAAATCTCAAAGGAACTTTCAAAAGAGAAAATAAAAGTTTTATTTTTCTACATTTTTCAAATATAGGGCAAAGTTTCTTAAATTTTAACCACAAAACAATTAACATCAGTCAAAACTCAAATATGTCAAACGCATCAGATGATACTGCAACAGACTGTGACAGCATGGAACAAGAAGGCACTGGGCAATGAATGAGTCACCGCCATGTATACCTATTTTTCAAAATGCTGGCTCGTGAACTTTTCAAAGTTAACATAAATCTATTATTACATTCGTGTAAAGATTAATGTATATTTTTACAAAATTCAAAACAAAATTGAAAAAAGGAAGAAAAACATCATCTCCTATTATCAGTGTCTTCTTTGTTTTCTTGTAGACCCAGCTAATAACAAGCAAAGGTTACCCATGCGAAGACCATGATGTGCACACAGACGATGGTTATATTTTATCTGTACAAAGAATTCCATATGGAAAATATCAAAACAAGTCTAGTAAGTTTTAAACTGTTTTATTCAACTCGAGTTCTTTTAAGGTCATTTATATAGACTTTTTGAAGACGGAGAAAAGAAGCACCCACACAAAACTGAAAACTCGAGTCTTATTAGTACAAAATATGATTCAAGAATCAACCCCTTGCAATCAATGACGAAAGTTTTGTAGCTTCTAGTATATGAGGTCTTATTTTTTTTATCCGAAATGATCAACTTTTATCAGTAGGAAGAGTTGTTTATTCAATTCATAAGCGAATATTAATTCTTAAAACTTTCTTTCTTGAACCCGAGATAAATGAAGGTAAGTTGAAAATAAAACATTACTTTTTTAATGATACAAAACACGTAATTTCCGTGTTAAAATATCTGAGACAATGTTTTGATTAGATTCTTTTTATTTAACAAGGCATTACCACTCATTTTATCAAGAGTTTATAGAATTTTTTCACGCTAATCTAAGCACCTATACACGAAAGTTGATATATATATATAAATATAGTTTCCTGTGTTAAAAGCTTCAGGGAAGCGCGTAGTGTTATTAATGCACGGACTACTTTCTTGCTCGGCATGCTGGGTGGAGAATTTAGTCAATGAGAGTCTTGGATTCATGATGGCTGACGCTGGCTTTGACGTCTGGCTCGGTAACAGCCGGGGGAATACATACGGTAGGCGGCACGAGAAGCTTGATCCAAATCAAAAAGAATTCTGGCAGTTTAGGTATTTAATTATTATTATTATTATTATTATTATTATCATCATCATCATCATCATCATCATCATCATCATCATCATCATTATTATTATTGTTATTATTATTATTATTATTATTATTATTATTATTATTATTATTATCAGCTATTCTAGTAGCTCTGTGTATTTTTTAAGGGTGGACACCTAAGTTCATAGTTAATTAAAATTCACTGTGTATGACTATTTGTAACGATCGATAAGTACTATAATCATCCGCTGATATTTCATCCGTGACGGTGATACGCGACTGTTTTGTCATTTTAGTCTTCACGGTAAGACAATTGTTACTAGCTGGACTAAAGCTACTTATTTATATTTAAAAAAATAATAATTAAATGCTTTTCAAAAGCCGTTACGCATGTATGGTGGTGTCACAGAGATGTCAAACCTTTTCACCATTATCCCTCGTGTCTCATTCAAACTTCATTTGCATTTCTACGCCGATGGACCCCCTTTACCATTTATGAATAATTTTAATTAGAATCCGAAAAAAACTCCTGAATGTGTCAACCGATTTTCCTGTGGTAATTCATCGCCTTTTTGAAGCATCAATATCTTTAGATAAAAAATATAAGGATGAACTGATTAACTGACAGACGTTTTCCTTGTTTCTGGCAACAAATTTATTGACACTTTAAACAAGCCTTCACAATAAATCTCCCGTGGGACGGACAAGTTCGCTATTTAATATACAAAAACACATTCGTTTGACATTCTAAACCAATCAAAGGCCGTTTTAAGAGATAACTTAATCTTTAAAGCTCATGAAAACCAAATATAGTTATCTATGTTTCTTCCTTAATATAAAGTCAATCAATCACAAATAAAACGTCAGAAATTTGTAGGAAAAAATAAGATACTAATATCTGCTTTTAAACTGCAAAAAAAAGATCAAATAAGTCGCTAGAAGATCTACATATATTCATCGTACGAAGAGACACAATATCATTGGAGAAAAATACAATATTCGTGACTTTTAAAAGTACGTTTACTCAAATAATATCAATTTGAAAGTTTAAAATTTATATGTTTATATTTGTACTTTCCGCTACCTAGCAGAACATTTTTTTTATGTTTTAGAGCAGAACTTATTTGTCAAATCGAAGATCAAGTGAAGCATGTGTACTGTTGTTTAACCCCCCCCCCCCCTGCAACTAAGTTTAGGGACGGACGGGTTGCCATCACAACAGTTCACGATAATGCTTTAACACAACTTTATTGGTTTTACGTTTCAGCTGGGATGAAATTGCAAAATACGATCTTCCGGCAACCGTGAACAAAATGATTGCAATAACAGGTGTTCAACAGGTATACTTTGTAGGACATTCACAAGGTGGGGGCGTGGGTTATGCACAGTTGGCACAAGATCCGGAGTTCGCAAAGAAAATCAAGATGTTTGCACCACTAGCACCGGCTGTCTACCTAGATGCCTTAACTGGTCCACTAAAACTGCTGGCGCCTTTCTCACAGGACCTTGATGTAAATACGGTCATTTTAATACTTGATAATACCTACCTTATATAATTGCTCATTTTCAGCCTAATTAATTGTCTCGTTATACCTAAGATACATTTGCAATATAAATTATATTGAATAATCTACAATTATACAAAATGTTTATAACAGTAAATTAAACCTCAGTTGCAGTTGCAAAAGAGCCGCCTCCGTGGTCGAGGGGTTAGAGTCGATGACTTCTAATCCAGTTACCTCTCTGGCGTGGGTTTGATCCCTGGGAGATGCTTTGGTAGTTTAGCGCGGAGGAAGGTAGTCTAGTACTGATGTAACTCTCCAGGAACGACGGTTAGGAAACTACCCGCCTATATAACTGAAATACTGTTGGGAAAAGGCGTAAAATGAAACAAACAAACAAAAAAAGTTACATAAGTGATTCAAAAGATATTAAAGGTCTTAAAATAAAATTTATTCCCATGTTGTTTGCTATTTTCGATCATTTATGGCCAGCTCCGAGGTTAAGTGTGATATTTAAAAATACTTTACTCTATTTTATTTCCGGGCTGCCTTTTTCGTAATATTGCACGGGATATCAGTATTTCAATTTAATTACAAATTCTTAAGAAATAGCAGTATTTTCATCTGATACTTTACACAAACTTTATTGCTTTCAGTTCATAGCAACACTTTTTGGGGACGGTGAAATTCTGCCAAACGATAAAATTTTCCAATGGCTGGCTAAAGATATTTGTACAAAGGAAATCCCTGCATTTCTTTGCAAGAATTTTCTTTTTGTCCTTTGTGGATTTGATGAACAGCAAATTAACCAGGTACGTTCCTTTACATGTAGTCCTTGAAATAAAGTTTGATATGAAAGCGATACAGAGATCTACATGGTATTTATGGGATTAAAACCATTTATTTGATTCTTTGGTATATGCATGCAGTAAAATCAATTGTATGTCTAAATATGATGAAAATCTTGAATTCTGACAAAGGTGCATTTTAGTGATGGATTAATTGTGACTTTTTCCTTTGAATCCGTGTCTCTCGATATTACCATTTCTGTAAGTAAATAGAAATAGTTTCTAATTCATTTTGCTGATGCTAAATTATGTTATTAGAGTATTTGGTTGTCCTTATTTTTTATGCCGAACCTCAGGTCAAAATATGCGAACTGAATACTAGTTTCTCAATATGAATAGTGCATTTTCTCCCTTTTTATGGCTTGATTTGATTTTTATTTATAATGTGTATACGGAACATATGTGACAAACAACTAGGTTTATGCAAATTTTATTTTATTTCTAATAAACACCAAATGTTTACCAAATGTAAACTAACAAAGAATTTTTGTTCTATAACCAGATTGTGAATAATTTTCATACTCTTCCGATATTGTAATTTCCTGACTTATTAGGGTTTAGAGTTCTTAATTACAAAAAGATATAAAAAAAGTCCTTTTGCAATCAATATCATAAAATTTTTATTCTTGAACTGTCTTTATTTGTGTTTATTACCCAGACGCGTGTTCCTGTGTATATTGGACAACATCCAGCCGGAACTTCCGTCCAAAACATCAATCATTTTGCACAAGTAAGTAATTTGTAATATATGAGTTCAATTAAAATTGAAGGAAATGCCAAAAATTGTGAAATAAATTGTATGGTCTTTAAACGAAACATCTGTATGACATTGAATACGTATACATTTCAAACTTGGTGTATCCGATATATACGTAATGTCTCTCATGCCATTGTCAAAATGACGATTATAATTATCGTCGGGTACCCACGGTTGATTAACATGTAACATAGCACGTAATCTGATAAATGTTAAATGGTTCGGCCATGGATATCTGGCGATGAAATTTGATACGTGTTTATTCTAATTTTTTATATTCATATACTATACAATATATTTTTATTGTAGATGGTCAAAACAGGAAAGTTCCAGAAGTATGATTATGGGGCCAAAGATAATATGCTGAAATATAACCAGGTGATTTATATTATTTTAATAACTATAGATATAACACCGAAACTATCAGTATTGTAACAATAAATATAGATATACCGCTAAAACTGTCGGTTCTGTAACAATAAATATAGATATAACACCAAACTATCAGTATTGTAACAATAAATATAGATATACCGCTAAAACTGTCGGTACTGAAACAATAAATATAGATATAACACCGAACCTACTAGTAATGTTACAATAAATAAAGATATACCGCTAAAACTGTCGGTACTGTAACAATAAATATAGATATAGCACAAACATTATCGGTACTGTAACAATAAATATCGATATAACGCCAAAACTATCGGTACTGTAACAATAAATATCGATATTACACCAAAATTATCGGTACTGTAACAATAAATATCGATATTACACCAAAATTATCGGTACTGTTGCAATAAATATAGATATAACACCAAAGCTATCGGTACTGTAACAATAAATATGGATACAACACCAAAACTATCGGTACTGTAACAATAAATATCGATATAACACCAAAATTATCGGTACTGTAACAATAATTATGGTTATAACACCAAAACTATCGGTACTGTAACAATAAATATAGATATAACACCAAAAGTATCGGTACTGTAACAATAAATATGGATATAACACCAAAACTATCGGCACTGAAACAATAAATATGGATATAACTCCAAAACTCTCGGTATTGTATTAATAAATATGGATATTACATCAAAACTATCGGTACTGTAACAATAAATATCGATATTACACCAAAATTATCGGTACTGTTGCAATTAATATGGTTATAACACCAAAACTATCGGTACTGTAACAATAAATATGGATATTACATCAAAACTATCGGTACTGTAACAATAAATATGGATATAACACCAAAACTATCGGTACTGTAACAATAAATATGGATATTACATCAAAACTATCGGTACTGTAACAATAAATATCGATATTACACCAAAATTATCGGTACTGTTGCAATTAATATGGTTATAACACCAAAACTATCGGTACTGTAACAATAAATATGGATATTACATCAAAACTATCGGTACTGTAACAATAAATATGGATATAACACCAAAACTATCGGTACTGTAACAATAAATATCGATATTACACCAAAATTATCGGTACTGTAACAATAAATATATATAACACCAAAACTGTCGGTACTGTAACAATAAATATAGATATAACACCAAAACTACCGGTACTGTAACAATAAATATGGATATAACATCAAAACTATCGGTACTGTAACAATAAATATGGATATAACATCAATGTAACAATACATATGGATATAATATCAAAACTATCGGTACTGTAACAATAAATATGGATATAACATCAATGTAACAATACATATGGATATAATACCAAAACTATCGGTACTGTAACAATAAATATAGATATAACACCAAAACTATCGGTACTGTAACAATAAATTTGGATATTACACCAAAACTTTCGGTACTGTAACAATAAATATGGATATAACACCAAAAGTATCGGCACTGTAACAATAAATATGGATTTAACACCAAAACTCTCGGTATTGTATTAATAAATATAGATATGACAACAAAACTAGGTGCATTGTAACAAAACAAAAGTTGTGTTGTTCGTAACTGAGAAATGGCAAGAAAGGTAATTCAGACTCGGAATACATAATCATACTCGGTTAAACATATTCGGTTTAATAAGGTATTTAATTATTGCGGTATAAATAATTAAATACCGATGCTTGTACATTTTGTACTTTTATTCAGTATGTGTACGGAGAAAATAATAAATTTTGACTGTTTTCCTTTTTAGACAACACCACCCGAATATGACCCAAGCAAATTCACCGTTCCTGTCGCAATGTTTTCTGGAACTCATGATTGGTTGGTTGCACCAAGTGACGTCACAAAACTTCTTAACGTCACCAGAAATGTAGTGAATAGCAAAGTAATAAGCGCCTGGGAACATCTTGACTTTATCTGGGCTATGGACGCTCCGAAGCTTTGCTATAATGATATCATAAAGCTGTTTAAAAATAACTGAATACAATTGACTTTTTTTTCGTGGTTCTCTCTACTTGAACCAGTTAATACATTAAAAACGTTAGAAAGTTTTTGAGAATTATTGTCCGAGATGAAAGGAAAAGTTGGCCAGGTGATAGTGAAGTCTAAATAAAATGATGCATGTATATATTGATTCAATTGTTCTAATATTCTAAATGAATAAACGACATCAAAACTCAAATTATTGCAAGAAAATGATCAATTTATTACAATAATCATTTCCAGCAGAATCAAAATCAGTGAAAATAAAACATTTTTTTTTACTTTTATATGTAAAAATAAATTATTGTAGGCAAAGTGACATTTGAAGCACAATCAAAGAGAGCTCACCATATGGAAAGTCTATTTATATTTTACCTTGTATTTAGTCAGTATATAATTTCTAAGATAGTAATATCTATTTATCATATATTCTTTTCAAATTGTACATAATAACTTGGGCCCTTTAGATAAAATTTGTGCAGTGAACCATTACTCACATCTATCGTCACAAACCAGTCTAACTTTTTGTTTATTTGACCGTAAAAAATAATGTTTACAAAATATATCACTGTAAAGAAAGATAATTATACTTATTTCTTATTTCATTGAGGCATACTTCTGCAAACATTGACTTAAATTCTTCATTATTTACGTAGTCTTAACATATAAAACATAGATAAATGTACAACGTTAACAACGTAAAGCAATAAAAGACTCATCATGTGCCAATTCTTTTATTTTCGCCAGCTTTAGATAACGAGTTGGCGAAGCTTTATGTGTGTTTAAATGAAATAACAAATATTTCGAATGAAAATTGAAAAAGAAGAGTTGAGAGAGAAAAAAATGTGAAAGACAATAATTATTTTCCTTAACAATATCCTAATTCACGTTAAAAGATATTTTCAAGGGATCCAAATGACCCCGGGTACTAAACTTAAGCTATGGATACGACAGCTTATTATAATACTAAAACATTTAAGCTGTTGTGGTTGTATAATCGTCATACAGATCTGCTTAAAACATATTTTCCTTGATTTTTATTGAGTTACGTTATGATGTAACAAACTACAAAAAAAAAATTACAAAAAGACTTGTTCAATAAGGAAATAAAACCCATCTTGATTACAATAGAGACTCCTGGCTATGTTTTGTTTTTCTAAACGTAAATAAATGGACAATTTAAGACAGTCTGCACGTTAAACTTCGTGCATTTTCTTTTACATTAAATACAAGAATTTGATGTTATTTTCATAACTTTAGATTAAGGCAATATTAGTACAATTAAATTACATTTTATCGCGAAAATGATTCTTAAATCTCTGGTTATAGCATATAGCTATATTAAGCATATTAAGTATCAGCTAAAGAACTGAACTCAGCCTTTTCTTAAAATAAGCGAATGTAAGCATCTGAAATCAACAGAATTAATCACACATGGATTATTAACGACACCAAATAAAAAGCTGGATTAGCTATCACGATTTTTTTTTCATTTTAAGTATTTAATTAGGTTTTCATGTTAACGGTGTTGGCTGGGACATAGGTATGGTATTTAAAATCCCCACTATGCCTCAAAAATGTTATCATTTCTATTTTTCAAAAGCTTTTTTTCTGTACTTGAACAGTTACTTTTAGGTCCTATAGTAACCTGAGCTATCTTGCAATTAGACGAGTTATAGTGAATTAATATTTAGTATGGAAGTCAAAATATTACCTTCCAGACAAATTATTTCACATGAAGCACTATTTTTCTTAAGATTATAACCTGCTCATATGTTTAAATTCATATCATAACATTATTAACCTATCTAGAGAAAGAAACTGTTACATCTATTTATTTCTGAGGCATAATTTGCCTCTAAGTTCCGTAAATTTTGTCATATTTAATATTTTCTACCTCCACTGATATATGTTTTGTCGCCGGTTGCGACCATTTCAAACCCCCGAGAAAGTTTAACGTTTTATCACAAAATGTCTCGGGCAACTTACATATCCGCGAGATTTTTTGCCGAAATCGTACAAAATGTCGCGGGTATCGTATTAACCTCGTTATTTTATAACAAATGTTTGGAAACAGCAAGGAACATTTTGACTTCAGTGACCGGTAACGTCCATGATTTCACTCTACATTTCATATTGTGTTTGTCTATTAAAAGTCAAGGAACAGAAATAAATCCGCAACGTGTTTTGCAAGTCGAGGCCGAATGCTTAAACTAGTCTTTTTACAAGGTATGCATCAAAACAAAATATCTCGGATTATAATAGCCGCAATCGGCTACGCAAAGTATGCATACGTTTGCGTGGCTTAGTGTACTACCGTATGTAAACAGAAAATGTCGCGATTTTCTTCGTAAAACTCGAAATTTTATGACCGAAGTGTGACAGAAAAACTCGCGAGTTTCTATAAGCCGCAACATTTTATACAAATTCGACATAAAATCTCGCGGATTTAAAGGTTGCCTTCGACATCTCATAAACTGACAATAAAATTTCTCAAGGCTTTAAAAAGGACGCTATCGGCCACCATATATATACTCCTATATGAGTACAGTCATATATATCATGTCATATCGCATTTCCTGTAAGAAAAATACTTCCTTTGGGATAAAACGATTTTAGTCATAAAATTTCTTGTTTCATAGGAAAATAGAATGTTTCGTAACCATGTTTATGATGCATTACGAAAGCTATTATTTGTTTAGGTTTTACGAAGATATACAATGGTACAGATTAACCAACATTCAACTAGTGACACAATTGTTTAGCATTATGATGCATTTATGATGCATTTATGATGCATTACGAAAGCTATTATTTGTTTAGGTTTTACGAAGATGTACAATAGTACAGATTAACCAACATTCAACTAGTGACACAATTCTTTGAGGTATAAATATAGATTTTATAAGACAAGACGATATTATATATAAATTTTATTTCAGTTCTATTCTAATATATCACACCACGCACTGCCTAGCCTACGCCTTGGTTTCATAAGGTTAAATTAAATGTGCACAATATGTGAACTTGAAACTGTCTCCAAGTATTTTATTTTTCAAAGAGGTTAGAAAGAAAGAATAGAATGTGTTGCTTTTTTATCTATTTCAGTCCAAGTGATTTTAGAGGTAAACCACATTGGTCTATTTCTATAATAAACTTATTTTCCAGAAATAAAACGGTAGTCAAGCCTTGACATAGAGAACACGTTCAGGATCATGATCATAAGTGTGGTCACAAGAGCAATCAAAGTGCTGCAGCACTGAATGCGACGGACATGCAACCGGAGAGACATTAAGGCTTCTTTTAGAAAAAACAAAACAAAAACAAAACACAAAATATATAACAGAGAAAATTTGTTCCATTCAAGTTCGAGATTTGTAGAGCAATATATTTTGTGTCCCAAACTGATATAATTCAGATTTTCTACTTTCAAGCACTTAAATACAGAATGAAATTTATGCCTAAAAACTCTGGATCAGTGTCCTTATCGATTTATTCCAAGAAATGATATGTAAATAGAAAAAAAGCTGTCAACGAAATATTTCTAAAATAAAACCAGGCAAATAAACTTCAAACATAATACATTATACATTTGAGAATGCTATTTAGAATTGCTTCGTGTTATATCATAGTGGGCATATAGACAATAAAATATAAGTCATTTGTATTTTTATTTCTCTTGGATATGTCTCATTAAAAATTTTTTGGTTAAAATCATCAGCAATTAATAGTGTATTTTTTAGATTATTTTTATTTACAAGGTAAAGAATGATGTAGAGGCCAGAGCACATCGTTTTTTATTTTAATTCAAATGTCACTTAAGCACGACAGTGTTAAGTTGTCCTTTTCAATTTCACACTAAATTCCATTTTAACTTGTTTGTTTCTTACAATTACATATTACAGGTGACTTATTGGTACATTGGGCCGGGTGTTATATTAAATTATTTAATTTCGTTATTTGTAAACTGTCATACACATGTCACTATAATAAAATATTTACTTACTTACTTTCTTATAGAATTTCTAAAAGTATTGCATGTAATCCGCTGGTTTATTACATGTATAATGTGTACTCCCTAATTGCCTGTCCAAAAATCAGAAAAGGTGAAGCAGAATCTATTTTTAGAGTAGCGAAGGTTAACTCATATCATGACTAGAAAAATATGTAAACAAACGACAAGAATCGGAAGTAGAACTGATATCATAACTTCCTTACCATGAAAGACTACATGGCGGTAAAGTGTTTGAAAAACTCTCTTCTTACATGCATTTTCAAAAATAAGATATTTATACAAACCAATTGTACTGTATATAATATATTAATAAATGCTGAATATTCAGCTTAACCCGCGGTATGAGTCACGAAAATAGTTTCTTCTTTTATTAATGCCGCGAGTTATCCTAGAGTCACGAAAAAAACTTTTTGATTTTGTTAATTTATAAAGTTTTGGTATAATGTAGAAATATTTATTTCCTACTAATAATGTTTTGGAACTCAGAGTTACATCTTTTATTGTAGTATAATTTGCTGTCCTACTTTTTCGACAGCGGTAAATCGTTTCGGCAGTAATTTGCATATTTGTGCAATAATATTACGGGGACTACAAACGTTTTTATCAATAATATACGTTCATATTTTAACTTGGATAACTTAATTTGAAATTGAAAAGGCTAAATATGGAAGATTTTAAGATATCCAGACAAAGTATGGGAGTTTTGAAGGATCAAATTCATGTACTATTTCTTGGGCTATTAATCGGTTTAGGAGACATTGCGCGATTGTTGCCAACGAATTCCCATGTGAAGATGACATATCTCTGAACGCGCCTGAGGGTGCGTCCGTCGCAAAAATCAGTCCAAAGAAGAAAATTTACCATTTTCACTTGTTCGTTTCGTCAAATACAATACGTGTCAAGCACTGATCTTCATATAGCAAGCAACACTAACTGTAATAAGACTATAGCCTATTTGTGGAACAACATTTGTTTAAAGAAGAGAATATTTCTTTATAATCAGTTCGTTTTTAACAAATAAATGATGTTATAAAATTTACAAATAGGTACTAATAGCATTTGCCAACATTGTGTTTGTTAAATAATTAAAGGTTATCATTTCCCATCGCTTAAAGTAGATTATGAAATGAAATGCC